AAGTTCCCTATTCATATTGTATACTGACTGCAGCAAAAGGCTTAAGTGTGTCAGAGATCATGAGGATGGGACAAGAAACAACAGAATTTAGATCTGTTGTTCACAGTTTCACTTTGAGTCATACTTCACTCAACTGAGCTAACAAAAATAACAACATTCATAGAAAAGAGACGTCTGGTGATTTCGTGGTAAGAAGCTGCACTGTAACCTCAAAGGCATACGGTTCAAATCTACCAGTTGTTCTGCAGAAGAAAGTTGGACAGTCTTCTCTTGTGCAATTTACTCCTCTGAAATCCTGCTGAAGGGTCAGCCATGAGTCAGTTCTGACTTGATGATACAAAACCACAACACATTAAAAAACATATTGAAACATTAATATGAATTTATATAGGAAGTAAATATATATTGAATGTTTTCCATACACTAGGCATTGTGTTAAATGTATTTTGTCAACTAAATAAAGACTTGTTGTTGGTGTTAGGTGCCACTGAATCTGTTCCAACTCATAGTGACCATATTTACAACAGAATGAAGCACTGCCTAGTCTTTTGACATATTCACAATCTTTGTTTGAGCCTACTGTTGGAATCACTGGCTCAATTAATCTAATGCAGGGTCTTCTGTTTATCACAGACTCCTTTGGCAAGCATGATGTTTTTCTCCAGGGTCTGGTCTCTCTTGACAACATGTCCAAAGTGTATTCAACAAAATCATGTTACCTTGCTTCTAAGGAACACTATAGATATTCTTCTTCAAAAAATATTTAGATGTCTTCTGGAACTCCAGAGTACATTCAATATTCTTCACCAATACCATACTTTAGAGGCACTAATTCTCCTTCTGTTTTCCTCATTCATTGTCCAGCTTTCATATGTATATGAGATCACTGAAAATAAGAGTCAGTTGCACCTTAGTACATCTCAGCTACTTAACATGACTCTAATGTAATCATAAGGCTCTAATATAATGTAATGAATTATCTAAACATATTTTTGATCTGTATGCTAGAGAATTCAGGTAGCTGAGTCCATAGATTCTTGCACTGCCAATATAAAGGTGGTACCTGTCTGTAGTTCAAATCAACCAGTGGCTCCAAAGCAAAAGGTGGGCAATCTCCTCCTGTAAAATTCATAGCCTCCAAACACCCACAAGAGGGTCAGGTGTGAGTAGATTCCAGCTCTCTGGTAATGATTTAAGTTTGAATTGATGACTAAGAGGCTGGCACTTTGAACCAACCAGTGGCAAGGTGGAAGATAAGACCTGACGATATATTCTTCTAAGATTTTAGCCTGAAAAACCTGCTGGCAGTTTGTCTCTGTTCTATAGGTCACTATGAGTTGGAATCTACTCAATGGCATAGAACAACAGTATTATGAGAAGAAAAATTTGAGAGGGAGAGGGGATTAAGTGGTTTAGAGAAAAGTAACTCATTGTAGGTTCAACTTACCTGTTTTCTCATTTATTGAAACAACATTTTAAGAATGTTTTTAAGTATATCATTGAGAATTTTCTTTTCTGGCTGAGAGTACCTCAGTCTCTCTTGTATATGTTGTTATTGTTAGGTGTCATCAAGTCAAGTATAACTCATAGCAACCCTATAAACAAAAGATCTGAATCTAGTCCTCTCCTGCACCATCCTCACACTTTCTTACACACAATAGCCCATTGCAGCAGTTACCTTGTCAATCCACCTGGTTGAAGGTCTTCCTCTCCTCCTCTGACCCTCCACTCTTCC